GGGTCGTCGAAATTTCGGCGTGGGTCACTGGGCAAGGCGAATTCTTTAGAGCACTTACATAAACGAAGCATCATCGGGGAATCGGTGTTGGTCAGCATATAAAGCTCGAGAGGTCAAGTATAGTGTGGCACTGCGTAGAAAAAAAAGAAAAAAAAGTTAAGTAAAATGAAAGAACCATAAGAACGTGAAAGATAGCTTAGAAGGAACGAATGAAGCGGTCGGTGATTAACGACGCTTCGAACTATCTTCGCAGCGATTCCTCAACATCGAAGATAGCCGTTCATCATTAGTCGTTCTCAGAACTGGATAAAAGCTCGAATCGAGTTTCCGGACCCAAGCACGAGAGGCCGCTAGCTTCGCGCGTTGCACCTGCTCTGCCTATAGGTGTGGCACTCCTCTGTGGACCGAGGTTGGATCGTGACATATAGTCGGCCGTCACGATCCTGCAAAGTCGTTTTTCAAACGCCGCTTCTGCACTTTCCCGCTCCGCTGAGCTATATGTGATCGACGAGCGCGTTCCCGAGATTTGCCCAGGTTTTCTTCGTTGCGTCATCCCCGACCTGCCTATGGGTCCCTGGGACAGCAAGCCGCTGAAGCGAGAGGGAGAGGATTTTTGTCCGAGTGAAAGAGCAAATGGACAATGGAGCGTTAAGTCAAAGTTTAAAGGAAGTTCCAGGGAAGTCGTGAAACAGATGATGTGGGAAACAAAACCGACGTACCCCAGGGGCCCTGCGTAGTGTCAAGAGTGTCCTACGATGAAAGCTTTATTCGTGATAAGAAACTTCAGCCCGCCATGACGCTGCGTATAGCACTAGCGACGCTAAATAAATGTATGGCTAACAGAAATGACCATTTACGAACGCAACTCGCTGTGACGATGATGATGATGATGACCTATATGACTCAAACCCACCCCGAGGGATTGGCCAAAAAACGAATAATAAGAAGTAATCACGTATGAGTTTTTTTATCTCGTGAATGAAATTGTTAGAAGAAATTAACGTTACTAATTTAAAAATTTACGATCAAAACTGCTCTAATTCTATTAAACTTCTTCTATGGTGGTGCATTCGACTCACTTTTCTTTTTCTGTGATTGCCTAATTGCGGCGATTGGACAGCGAAATGTCGTTACTAAAACAGCTAGCTGCCTCGACAGGAATAGGAACACCTTGAAGAGGCGTTTCTCACAATAAAGAGCACACTGTGCATTGCCCATGTGTTTAGAGCGAGCTAGGACAAGTTTAACGAGCGAATAAAATGGAGAAGCACACCTTTTTTTCATCGGCAGAAAGCCCAACAGCAGATCAAAAGGAGGTCCAAGTAGTCTCTTGCATTTTTGGACAAAGCTAAGCACCCTCGAAATGCGTGTTCTTTTACACACGTAAGCGCTGCCAAGACGAAGCTGACAAAACAGACACGCAGCTTGCGCAATCACAGGCTTTGTTTTTGTTTGTTTTTTTCACTCAAGTGAACACCGTAAAGACGAAGTGAATCATCCGTTTTGGACAACACATGCTCTTGAAACAAACCCCCAAGAAATGAAGCTAAGAAATTATTCTTGCAAAGCTATGTTAAAACCGACGTTGCCGCAAGTGCCAATAATAGTGAACAATGTAGTCGAATGGAAGTTCCTGCTGTGCTTTGTGCACGAGAAAATTAGACCTACGTCACCTAATGATTTTCAAAACAGGCCGCGCGTCTTCTGTAGCTATTAGGTCGAGGATGGCTTCAGCTGGTTTAAAACAGGATCATTTGAAGTTTGGTATAAGGGGCCATATCTAGTGGTGGTAGAAAAGAACAATGTTAACTATGGTACAAAGATATATTAACATGTTAGAAATTTGGTTGCAGTCGATTTTGTTATCGTTAAATGTCAACAAAAGCGCGCTCATGGCGTTTCCGCTTGCAGAGCCAATTTCAATTTCAATTCTATATAAACAGGAACCCATCCAGCAAGTAGACTCTATAAAATTTTTGGGAATCATTTATAATGACAAACTTAACTGGAGTCCACACATAGAGCATATAACTACCAAAGCACAGCGGGCTTCAGGCTTACTACACAAGCTAAGTAACCGGAAATATGGGTTACGGAGGCACACCTTGATAACGTTGTACAAGATTTATATGCGCCCCATCATGGAATACGGCTGCATATTACTCTCGGGTGGCCCTGCTTATAAAACGAAACCTCTAGTTGTCTTGGAGCGAGAAGCACTGCGAATGTGTCTGGGACTCCCTAGATTTGTGGCTATCAACGTACTGTACCAGGAAGCGCGCCTGCCTACACTACTTTGTCGATTTCGAATTTTAACCGTACAAGCATTTTTAAAATTTTATAGCTTACCGGCAAGAAGATCTCAATATGCTTTTATCGCAAACCCAGACGCCTTCTTTCTTGCTCATTGGCCACGGTTTCACACACCTCAGATAATGTTTGTACAAAAAAATCTACAAAGTATAAATGTGAACATTAGAAATGTAATTGAGACTAATGACTCGAATTGTCATGTTATTATTGAGTATGATGATATATTCCCCCAAAACGCCAAATTACAATCCCTCAAACTTTTAAATAACATATTATTAGATTACTTGGAGCATGCAGAAACTAAAAATATAACAGCCACAGATGCTTCCGTAAATAATCAAAAGGCAGGTGTAGGCGTTGCCTCTGATTTGCTTGACTGGTCCTTTTCAGTGAGACTGCCTGATTTTACTCCAGTTTTTGAAGCGGAGCTCGTGGCGATTATTTTAGCTCTTCGAAAACTTCCATCAAATCAAAACAATGCAGTCATAATGACGGATTCTCTTTCAGTTTGTGCAGCTCTGACAGCTTCAGAGAACTCTCGAATTCTAAGCACATTCAAAACATTAGTACCCCCGCAGTTGAGACTCCTGAGATTACTATGGGTTCCGGGACACTGTGGATTAAGATTAAATGGATTGGCCGATTCCTTAGCACGAGCCGCACTTGATGGGCCAGTTTTGTCCATTCTGCCAGATGTTGAATATATCACGGCAATAAGATATCGAAAATCAGCAATCTCCGCTGATACGATAGAAAAAGTAACTACATGGACAGACTATAACCACCTCATGTTTCCATGGCAACCCCACTGGAGTCAGTCCAGAAAGCTCGAAGTCTTAATTACTGAATTTCAATGTCGTGTCCCCCCCCCCCCTCTAAACCTGTATCTACACAGAGCTGGTCAGACATCACCCCTCTGCGCATTCTGCGGAGAAATGGAATCACTAGATCATTATTTTTTGTATTGTCGCCGCTACGAGATACTTAGAAAAAGGTTACTAGTTATGCCATTTCGGAAAATAGGCCTTAGATTGACGGCGGAAACGGCGCTAAGCTTTGGCGCCTCAGCTTTGGAACATTGCCACAGGGATGCTTTCAATGCCGTTTGCGATTATATTCAGGCAACCAAGCGTATACCTTTGTGATCTTCAATCAAAAAAAATTATTTATTACTCCCCCGGGCAGAGTGAAGTAAACGCAGCTGAGTGGTAATCATAACACCTCAAATCTCAAAATTGCTCAACTTGATTTTTTTTTCGTTTGCTCTTTTTATGTTGCTTTTATTTTTACATTAGTCTTATTATAATACCAATTCATTACACATAGTTAAAATGATCACAAAAAAACTGCACTACACTTTCTTGGCCAATCCCCCTGAGTGGGTATGAGCCAACCTCCCAGGGAAACAAAACAAAACAAAACAAAATACAATGACAAGAAAATCAATCGAGTGTATGCAGTGTAAACTCTTCAGAGCTTGCATTCGTGTGGAAGAAACATGAAGATTTTCAACGTCACATGAGTTTTTGCATGCAAGAACAAGTCGAGACCGCAGGTGTTCCACTCCACTTCCACTCTGCCAGTAATGAAAAATCAATATATGTGCCTTGGACAGAGAATTGTAGACTCTTAAAAGCAATCTGGGATGATAGAGCATTTTTTTTTTCATTCATTGTCGTGACGCATTTTATTTCGGGGACATTCTAGCAAGAACTATCAGAAAAGAACTTCCAATCACAGCTTATGGTATTAGGTTTCTCGTTTTTAAAAAGAGCCTGACTGGTAATACCCCATATGACCTGTTTATGTTGTTGTAACTGTATCCACCATGGAAAAGTCGCATGATTGACAGACACGCCGAGCCACCATGGTCGACGAGATCCGTCTTCCGAGAAGCAGCTGCTCAAGTGCGCAGTGCTGTGGAGACTTTTGACCCCGTTCCGAAGTGGCTTCCCTTATGGACGCTTGTGTGCGTTTGCCTGACTTCTGATCAAGCATGTTGTGCGTAGTTCACAATTACTGGTCATGATTTCATGCAATAAAAAAAAAAAAAGACACTACACGCACTGAGTGGCAAGTGAATCATTATTCGTCGGCTTCAAACACATAAGCGCCGAGAAATGTTTTGCGCATCGGGAGGCGTCAGATTGCAGCCGCGCAATGTGCGCGGTGATCGATGAAACGAGCAAGGCCGTTAAGCAGCATAGCGTGATAAACGGTAGTATACAGTCAAATATATGAAATGTACAATAAAACTTGCTCGTCACGACTAAATAAATGCGTTTTGCGATACCGCCTAAAAAGCATGATGTACAATATTAAAAAACATGCGAGTATGCAGCAATGTAGTTCTAAACAGGGTCTGGATTTCATTGCACTAACCGTAAAAATGTCACGTTTTCAATCAAAGAAGCTGCACTTGCTTCCCGGGTTCATCCTCGATCCCACCGTGCACTTGAAGGCGTTCGCGAATGCGGCAGAGTTGCGCACGGCTTTGTTGCAGTCTATCGCGAACGGATTCGGAAATCCTTCGGTGGCGCACGTGACGTAGCAAATAGGTCATGAAGAAAACCACCGCTTCCGGGAGGTCTTTCCGGATCGACAGCGGAACGCTCTGGTTTTTCAAGGCGCCGACGAGCGAGGAAAGCGCAATCTCCAAAGCCGGCACTTCCGGAAATATGCTGGCGCTACCCTGGCTCCTCAAGCAGCTGTCCTTGAACCGGAACTCGCTTGTCGAGGCCTGCGAGAAAGATGGAGTCGACTTGGTGTCCGTCCGGGTGCCACCGCAGGCCGATACTGTCTAGGGCCTTTACCATTTCCTTGGCAAACAGGAAGCCGAGGCCCCCGTAGAACATGGCGTCGGTTCCCATTGGATAATAGATGGGTCTGTCTATGATTCCTATCGGCAAATCCATGCTGTTTAGGATGTAGTCGTATATCAAGTGTGCCGGGAAGTAATTCGTCGGCAAGCTATCGGCGACGCGCGATTCTCCAGCCCTTTTTTGCTTGGATATGAGACGGCGGACGGTTACCCAGTACTCCCTAAATGTCTCGCTTCCGCGTGGGTACTCCTTGTAATACTCCTCCAGCACACCGTTGTCCGTGTACTCCGACGGGGGCCACACTCGAACTCGCAGCGACGACAGCTTGCGCGTTGCGAGAGCCTTGCTTTCGTCGTCCAGCCACTCGGAGTCGCTCACCATGCGAACGGCTGTCGAAACCAAAGTGCTGTACGCATCGTCGATCAACTGCTCATCGTGGCGAGTCAAGCGGGCAACGGTGGTCAGGCTGAGCAGGAGCAGCTTGTACGCCGCCTCGACGTGTAGTCCGCAGAAAATGGGACGGTACGGAGAAGCGCGTGATTTGCCGCCGTACGTGAACCATAGGAGGCCGCTGTCGAACACGGGCGCGTACATTTGGACGAAGAGCCACGCCAGATGCCTCCGCAGTTGGCGCTTATCGTACTTGCTCAGCAGTCCGTCGATTATTTCCAGTAGTTTCGTGTCGCTCACGGAAACGCGATCTTGGAAAGCGAGACTGGGGACTTACGGACAAGTACTTCTGAAGCGCGCGCATCCAGTGTTCGCTGGGGACGTTAGCAGTGTAATTGCCGATGTCGCCGAGCGGGAAAGAGGCCGGGTTCTTCATTTTGGAGACGAAGCAACTGTAAAGCTGTTCCAGAATGTCCCCTTCCACTGCTTTCGTCTCCTCGATGAAGAACGTCTCTGCGGGATTCGTATGGTCCTCGCTAAGCGTGCCGTAGAAGCCCTGCAAGTACTTCGCATAGTCGCCGTCCAAGATGACGCGCCGGTGGTGGTTCCGCGCTATGGCTACGTAGTCGCCGGGCTTGATCAGCAGGCGACCCCTGGACGAATCTGGCTGCGAGAGAACACGGACCGAGATCCAAAACGGCACCTGCCATTTGAGCGACACTTCCATCAGCTGGTCGAAGAAGGGCGGCGCTTGGTCATCTTCCGATCCTTCCGGCCAACTCAGGTTCAGGAATCTCAAGATGAAGTTCAAGCGCTTGACGTTGGCGCCGCCGTCCTCGAAGTATTGCTCGCACAGTTCGTACATTCGGTGAGCTTTCTCGCCCGCGGGGAGCACTGCGCTGCCGTCGCGCAGCACCGCGCTCAGGTCTTCGAGGTAGGAGAAGATGACGTCGTCCATCACCGACGTGACGTGCTCTCGGTAGTAGCGCCGCGGCGACCAGGCTGAGCAGACGTAGGCGCGGAAGTCGTCGCAAGGGTCCAGGCTCCGGTTCAAGTTGGCCGTCAGGATGTCCGCGTGCACGGTGCAGTCCTCGGTCGAGCACAGCGGGACGAGCTCTTCGGCCTTGTCACGTGCGACGAACGAGTATAGAATCGTCGCGACAGTGAACAGAATGGCCACAAACACAGCAAGGCCGATCGCGGCGGCTGCGATGTAACGTGCTTTAACGTTGGCTGGTTGCGAAGTCCGCTTCGGTGGTGACAGTAGCTAGAAAAGATATATATGTATTTTAATATATAAGCCTATGCAAGCCGGTGATGAGGTAGAGCGTGCACGTGCACTATACCGTGTTAGTGAAAGCAAATTTTAAATCGACCTCTTTGGAACGAGTGTGAAATGAACACACGCTTAATTATTATCCAAGTGAAGACAGCTTTTTTGGGACTCCTGCAGCCAAATTCCTATAACAGGGTACATCCGATTCGCGAGTGTATTCAATTACCGTTGTTTACACTCACGAACTTTCACGGGTGTTCGCTGAAGTTTGGTTATCTTCTATCATTATTGGCGAAAAAAAATCTAGGATGTGCCTTCGTTCTAACAACATTCCACTCTTATAAATCAACTTTCCTTCAAAAAGAGAATATAATAAAAATAATTATTAGGAGTCCATGGTACAAAATCTAGCATAGCAAGTGCAAATAAATCTTAGCAAGCTAACTTGGATTACGACTATGGCACTTCACCTAGCTAGATGAGCGTACACTATAGATACAATTTCAAGCCATGCAAAAGTATGTAACCACTACCACTGCTAACTTCACAGAATGTTTGTATACGCAATATATTTGAGGTCAGCCCGCTATCGTGTATCGGCGGCCACTTGCAGCAATATGTACAGCCTGCAGTTCATAAGACGGTGCTCACAATTTGCTTCGAACATAGGCCTAGACTACGCAAGCCTATGTTTAATGCTTCTGCTTAATGCTCTGCTTAAGCCTAATGCTTCTGTGGTAATCCTTTAGAGGGAGCATACGTAAAGAGGAACTTAAAGGGCAAGCCCCACTCTACAAGGGTACCAAGGAAAATCTAACCCGCAAAGTTCTTTTTCCAAAAACATGCTCCCGCTGCAATCTTGATCATTCCACCACATCCACTATACCAGAAATGCATTGTGCATTTTAGGAGCCCAAAATTGTTACTCGATACCTCCAGCAGACAGCATTTCAGTTGCTTTAAACATTTAATACCTTTAAGGGCGAAACCTTTCTAGAAGTTTTCTCAATGAAAGAACTAGTACTCACGATGTTCGTGAAAGTCAAACGCAGCTTTCGTGTCACGTTTGGCGTGTACCGGATGGTCCCTGAAACTATGGCGAGACGTCAAAACGCGACTGCTGTCCTCGGGGCCACTGCGTGTGGTATCCGGGGCTGACGAAGTGGCCGGAGAGGTGCCAGCGGGTGGGGACTCGGTGCGATTGTCCATGTTGATTTCGCCAGAGTCCATGCTCAGAAAGGACTTCGAGACGTTCGACTCTCGGCGTGCCGTAGACAGGGATCGCCGTGGCTCCGGATGTGTGACCGTGGTGGCGCCACTGGCAACGCCGTGGATGTTCCGCGACGGCTCAGCTGTCCCAGATTTCCCTGTCAGCTCATAACCGGCATCTGTGGTTGCGATTCCGCGCCGCGGCACTGTCTCCGCCGTGTCCTCTTGTGACCGGGGCGTGTCAGCGGCGACGGCGAAAGTAACCAAGCGAGGCAACGCAAGTCCCTCAGAATCAGAGACAAGCTTAACGACTTCATCGACTGGCGTCATGCTGGAAGGAACCTGTGACGACGCGACGTTGTCCTCCTCAGCGACCACGTTGACATCAGTCTTGGAGCCCCTCATCGACGTCTGACCTGTTGCGGCCACCTCAGGGACGAGCTTAACTTCCGCCTTGGACACACTCCTCGAAGTCTGACCTGAAGTGGCCTCCTCTGGAACGACCTTGGCTTCCACCTTCGAGGCCCTCATCGAGGTCTTATCTGACGACGAAACCGGCACGGAGCGCCTTCTCGGAGGCTGATGCCGTCGGAAGCTCGTCTTAGAGCCGGAGGGCGCCGTCGCTTGTCCTCGGACGTCGTCGCTGGCGTGCCGTTCGGCATTGCCGACCGCTGTGGTCTCTGATGGAATGCTGCCGACGCTTGAGCTGCGACTTTGGTGTCTCAATTTATGGCTTCCACGTCCGGGTGTGTCTAGGCCACTTCCAGTCTCGGAATGGGCGGTCGCCTCCCCGAGTTGGCCTGCAGACGTAAACAAGGGCGTTGTCCCGTCGGCCTCTCTCTTCATCGAGCGAATCGGTGGCGCTTTGCTGGAGCCAGTGCTGGAACTCTTGTCCTTGGACATGTTGCGGACTGCAAAAAAGAAAGAGGGCACGGTGAACGTGAGAGCAATGCGCGGAGACGTCCGTACCCAAGCAAGCACCGTTCTTCTTCTGGTCAGAAAGCACGCGCAGTCGCGAGCTGCGCATGCAGTTGTGATGATAACGGTGATGATGTTAATACTCCATTGCTCGTACCACTTAGGGATAGTCCGGGTGAACAAAGTCGAGCGTAGCATGTCGGTCGGTGCGGTACCTCTTTTCTCCACCATCTTTCAGGGAGAAAAAATAAACAAAAAAAACATGACTGGTCCCCCTATATAGGAATCAGTACAACACGAAATTGAAACGTGTCTCTATGATTGAGCGTTTATTTTGCATTGTTTCGGCAGCAGCAACAAATTGCAAAGTCATATGTTAGGAATGGCAAGCAACTCGAAACATGCATCGCACACCTTAAGTTGAAGGCACGCACGAAATTAGCATGCACAGGATGAGCGCGAACTAGCAACTTCTACAGCTCGACACTTAGATCGCGCAGTTCAAACAGAAAAAAATACTCGGGAGACGATTGCGCAAGTATACACAGGGCAAGTGCGACTAAAATTTACAATTCTTCCTGCGTCGTGTGACAGCAGCAGCGCTCCTTTCGTAAACGCGGCCATGGCAGTATGCGAAGTGACCTACATCCTACGTCAAATTACGAGTCCGATAAGCGCACGCAGGAGAGGCCATGCTCCATGGAGGCGGCGCTTCTTAGAGGCGACCACCTTTAGAGCGCGTCCAACGCGAACCCGTCGTGACATCTCGCCGCTGGTAACAAAAACACGCTAAAATTACAAAACTGTGAGGACTGCCCAGCGATGTACGGTGTATACAAATGGCTTGCCTTTAGATTGATTCCAGACGTCGTACGTTTTGTGGCGGAGTGGTTAGCACACGCACTGAGCATCGAGAGGTTGCTGGTTCGATTCCGTGTCAGTGGAGCCGTAGTGGACCCCGGCATAAAACACTTTCGTATTAAAATGTGAATGTACAAGACACAGGACCAGAAAATAGCAATCTTTTTTATTTATTCATCCTCATATAAGAGGATGAGCTACGCAATAATCGGCCATACCAAAATGAGTTCGTCACTGAATAACAAAATATACCAGGCCTGCGCAAAACCCGCAGCACAGTGGTAGCGAAAGCTGGAAAAGCGGCCCTTTTAGAGTTTTTGGCAAGCTCTCAATGAATAACTACGACAAGTACACTTGCATGGCGCTCCCTACACCATAAATCATCATAATTTTGGTGAAATATCAAATCCCCCACTGCATCATTACCCGTCATTCTGCCGAAATCAAGGTAGCCATTCCATATCTGCAAGCAATCATGTGCACTTTGCAGATGCTGTGGCTGATGACGATGAAAAATTATGAATGAGCCTTTTGTAACTGGTTGGAAGCATTCAACCATCCACTCGTTAAGGTATTTGCATGTCGTGCTTGATTCTTATTTTTCTCTTATACCACAAAATGATACATAGGGAAAGGTTTAGTTACAGAAAGGCTGAGCGGTTGGCCTGAGCGACAGTATGCTCTAGCCTGCAACTCTACAGCGGAGGAGCGGAAAGGGGGGGGGGGGAAAGTAACGAATGACGATGCCGTCGGGAAAAGGTAATTATATAGTCCCGTCTAATCGGCACAGTGCTATAGCCACGCATCCAATTCAGTTGCATGTAGGAAGGTTATGACTGATTTATTGACCACAGTCGCACTGTCGGCGTCAGACGGAGGGCCCAACTAGGGTTACCAACTGGCCCGGATTTCGCGGCACTGTCCCGGCTTTTTATGCAGC